ACTGCCTGGCACCATAGAGCTCGATTTGACATTTGCCCTTGAACACTAGAATTGGCAGATCCGGCACTGGCACCCTGTTCTTTTCACAGATGAGAGCAGGTTCACCCTGAGCACATGTGATAGATGTGGAAGGGTCTTGAGAAGCCGTGGAGAATGTTATGCTGCCTGTAACATCGTTCAGCATGACCGTTTTGGTGGTGGGTCAGTGATAGGTAGGGGAGGCATATCCATGGAGGGACACACCGACCTCTACAGGCTAGACAATGGCACCGACTGCCATTAGGTATCGGGATGAAATCCTTGGACCCATTGTCAGACCCTATGCTGGAGTAGTGGACCTTGGGTTCCTCCTGGTACACAACAATGCCCGGCCTCATATGGCGAGAGTATGCAGGCAGTTCCTGGAGGATAAAGGAATATCACTGAATGGCCCCCACACTCGCCTGACCTAAATCCAATACAACACCTCTGGGATATCATGTTTCGGTCCATCCAACGCCACCAGGTTACACCTCAGATTGTCCAGGAGCTCACTGATGCCCTGGTCCAGATCTGGAGGAGAAATACCCTAGGACACCATCCATCGTCTCATTAGGAGCATGCCCCGACATTGTCAGGCAAGCATACAAGCACGTGGAAGCCATATAACACTAGAGAGTACCATTTTGAGTTGCTGCAATAAAATTTTAGCAAAATGTATTAGCCTGCTGCATCGTTTTTTCACTTTGATTTTCATGGTGTCTTTGGCTTCAGTCCTCTGTAGGTTTATAATGTTCATTTCCATCAAACGATGGGGCATCCTTACATTCCTAACACATTACCCAGTCTATGTCAGTATAGATATCCAGCATGATATTTTTCCCCATTGAAATCTGATGTGTTTTCAAAGTGTTCGTTTAATTTTTTTGAGCAGTGTATTTTCTTTGTGATCAAGACTTGATTTAAAAATTTGATTTTTTTTTTTGTCTGGTAAATATGAAATATTGCCTATAAATATTTTTCACTAATCTATCCATCCAGCATGGTGAATTTTTTCTTCTTTTGTTTTTTTTTTTTCAGCTTCCGTGTTGTAGCCTGCATACAGCGCTCCGTAGCACAAGCTGAAATGTATCCACACACATGCACAAGTCAAAGAAATGACTCACCTCTTATCATACAGCTGTGTACAGTTTAAATCAAACACAGCAATACTGAAAGAAAAAAACATTTGCTAGCAAGTAGAGTTTTGTTTGTTTTGGTTTTTTTTTTTATAGAAGGGACTTTGCATGTCTCTTTTGACATTCACCCAACCCCTGACATTTAGAAAATGCAGAGAAAGTAGCAGGATTACGTACATGATTAGTGGCCATCCAAACATCTGGGGCGATTAACTGTGTGCTGTTTCACATTATGTGCTGTGTGTGCTTTCAACTGTAAGCACACTGCTTTGTATGGCTCTGCTATGCAGCACTATACAAAGCAGTGTGCAGGAGCTGAGTATTGTTTACATACTGTTCTTTCCCCCGTCGGTAATACTTGGCAATCACTGGCTGCCAGTGATTGACAGCCGAGGGCGTGAATGCTGGCACGGGTAGGGCGCGATCGCACGCACCCCCCCCTACTCGGAACTGCTAAATCACGTATATATATATATATATATATATATATATATATATATATATATATATATATGAGATTTTGTACACCCTTGCTGCCCTGTAGCAGTACTATATAGTAGCTAGACTCAAAATATGTTTATTTAGCAGATTAGGCAGCAATTGGTTGCAGGAGGTTACAGCATATCATTACAGCTCACTGACTGGTTGCTAGAGGTTACAGCACATGATTTGTGCTTGCTTATTGGTTGCTAGAAGTTACTGCACATCATTACTGTCACTGATTGGTTGCTAGAGGGTACTGCACATCATTATTGCTCACTGATTGGTTGCTAGAAATTACAGCAGATCACTACTGTTCACTGATTGATTGCTAGAAGTTACTGCACATCATTACTGCTCACTGGTTGCTAGAGGTTACTGCCCATTATTACTGCTCACTGATTGGTTGCTATTGGTTACTGTGCATCATTACCACTTATTGATCACTAGAGGTTAGGGCAATTCTTCACTGACCACCAATGTAAAGGGAAATTTACAGTGACCTCCTATGTAATTGGGAATTTGCATTGACAACTAATGTAATGAGAAATTTACGTTGACAACCAATGTAATGGGGGATCTTACACCAAAAACCAATTAATTTCTACACTGGCCACCAATGTAAGGGGGGATTTACAGTGACCACTAATTTAAGAGGTACTCCTACATGGACCACCAATGTAAAGGAGGATTTGACACTGACCACAAATGCAAGTTAGGGAACTCATGCATAATTGCTTTACTAACACCACAGAAATGCGGTGGTCTCTGTGAGACCTGCTAATATACACTCATACTGTGTATCCACAGATTACATATACAGGTTATCTGAAAACCATCACCTATTGACTCACAAAACGTACGGAAGCCACTTGCTACACCATGTAAAGAGCAATGTTTGAAATGGGATTTTAAAGTTCAACTTTGTCCAACTTTAGTGGTTAACACTTTTGTCTTGCAGGGCTGGGGTCCTCGGTTCAGGACCTTGTCAGGACACTATCTACAGGGAGTTTGCACATTCTCCCTGTGCAAGATTCGTTCAAGTACTCCAATTTCCTCCCACACCCCAAAGACATGCTGGTAGGTTAAGAAAACTTGTGGTGCTACAACCCCTGAATTTAATGTCCACTGGGACAGGTGGAATAGTCTATGCCAAAGAAAATACGGCACCATCTTGATTGATGATAAAATGGTTCAAGCTTTTTAAGTAGCCAAAGACCCTGGCAACGGTCAAGAGAGGCTATGTATTTTTAGCTGGTCAACTGTTACACACCGGCCATTTTATTAGGTATACCTGTTCAATTGCTTGCTAACAAAAATTGCTAATCAGCCAATCACAATGCAGCAACTCAATACATTTAGCCATATAGACACGGTGAAGACGACTTGCTGAAGTTCAAACCAAGCATCATAGGGGAAGAAAGGGGATTTAAGTGACTTTGAATGTGGCATGGTTGTTGGTGCCAGACGGGCTGGTCTGAGTATTTTAAAAAAACTGCTAATCTACTGGGATTTTCATTTACAACCAGCTCTAGGCTTTACAGAGAATGGTCTGAAAAATAGCCAGTGAGTGGCAGTTGAGTGGACAAAAATGCCCTGTTTATGTCAGAGGTCAGAGGAGAATGGGCAGACTGGTTGCTTTAGCCATTCAGATGATAGTGTCAGAATTTGGTGTAAATAACATGAAAGCATGGATGCATCCTGCCTTGTATCAATGGTTCAGGCTGGTGTTGGTGTAATGGTGTGGGGGATATTTTCTTGGCACCTTTTTCAAGGTGTACCTAATAAAGTGGCCAGTGAGTGTATTTTATTATGGCTAAGGTTGGGACAGAAATGTTTCTTTTTTTTTTTTTTAATATATGAAGGATCCTTTTATGTCTTGATGGATGCTTAATAAAGCTTGCAAAATTTTATAAACAAAGCTGGTGCCAGATTTCATAACTGATTCTAATGCTGGTAGGTTAATTGGCTCCTGTCTAAAGAATAGCCCGGGTATGATAGTCTAGTGAGTACACTCAAGATGTCTGATGCACCACCACCAACAGCAGATAAAGTGCTCTGATTCCTCAGGGAGAAAAGTGCTATAGAAATTGAAAATGAAATAAACAAATAACCACACATCCCCCCCCCCCCCCCCAGGTATGCTATACCGGGGAACTGCCACCGAACTTTTCATTTTTTTAATTTTTGCTTCTGTTGCCACTTATGTCCTATATTAATACTTGTGACGTCACTCTTCCTTTACTGATGTCTTAAATCAATGTTTCTCAACCTTTTTTCAGTCAAGGCACCCTTTAAAATTATGAACAGTCTTGAGGCACCCCATTCTAAAATGCAGTGCCTCAAGACTGTCCATAATTCTAAAAGGGCACCTCATTCTAAAATGTGTAAAACTATTCTAATAGTTTTATCTAACGCAGCAACATCCACACATGTGGAACACCCAACGTTAGAGGTGGTTTATTAGCAAATACACTTTTGTACACTGGTACTGAGTAGTATTTTAGTCTTTTCCCTCAGTTTTTCTCCAGCACTGAGCTAATGTGACCCCAGCACTGATGGAGAGGGACAGGGATTCTGTGCAGGCAGATGCCATCCTCCTTATCAACTGATGACATCATTGGCTGTCAGGACGCCGGAGGCTAGAAGGTCATAATGGTGCACAATGAAAACCTATGGCTTTGTGTAACTAAAAGGCAGGCTTGTTCCACCCGCTGGCTTGTATACAACTTTTGGGAAATTTTTGGACATTTTTCCAAGGAGATCCTGAAGAAACCTCAAGGCACCCTGGTTGAGAAAGGCTGTCTTAAATTATTGATTACTGTGCACCTGGTGGAACTACTATTTGCTTGCTAAGCAATTTCCTGAAACTACACTTCTCATGATTCTCTAGGCCTTCTTTCAGGGTCTTTCTAGGCAGTATTGTTGGCAGTGAAAGAGAAATAATGATACCAGTCAATGTAGTGCAAGTCCAGAAGAGGTTGGTCAATAGGCGAGGATTCACCGCAAATTGTAAACAATGAATCCTGCCAAGTATCATTGTGGTGAATGTGGTTACGTCACCTCGATAGATTCTTGGACTATAGGGGAGAAGAAAAACATCACTAACAATTAGAGGAAAAGGCTGTGTAAGGTTCTTGTCACTCAGCTGGAAGTCCTGTGTTGTGAAGCCTTATTGATGGTTTACATCCTGACTATCTGTGCTGCATCTCTGAAAGGCAAATACAAAATCGGACAACATTCTGGAGATATTAGAATATGCTATTATAATAATTTCATAAAGCTTGAGTTCTGCTGTAACATTTGCAGATACAGGAGGTGAGGACGTTATTCATCATAACAAAAATCATTTTTATCCAAAAGTTAATTACTAATGTAATTTTTGATACTTATGAGACCAAATGGATACTCACTGCTGGCTCTGGCTCTATATGAATAGGGGGGGACACAAGGAAGAACTCCAGAACTGCCCAAGATATTGAAGATTGACGCTTGTAAAGTGGTGAGGATGAGAAGTGTCTGGAAAATAAAGGCACAACAGAAACCCTTTGATGTTATGATCATATGATCAAAACTGTGAATGGACCTGAAAAATCACAAAAAAATGTTTTGGAAATCCAGGGTAGAAGTAGGACTTATCGAGAAAGTAGATTTTACCTGAAAAACTGCAAATTTTGTTGCCATATTCTTCTCAGCCAAGTGAACTTTGGCCTCTCTGAAAAGTATTCCAATGGGCCACAGTGCTATTACAGTGCAGAAACCAAGAGAAATGCTCATCCACAAGGCAATGCTGTGAGTTGATACCTGCAAGACACAGAATACACAAGATGACACATAGGCTGTACATGCATTGGTTATATGGTATACCAAGTAAAGGAAAATGGAAAATTGTATCAAATACTGTAATTTTCCTTTCCTGGCACCAATCCATGGCAGCATGCATGTGGTTTAGTATGCTGCCAAGTTGGCAGCAGGAGAGGCTGTTTTTGTTCAAATATATGTATAGTAATTTTCTTGAAAACAAAAATGTCTTTAAAATGATTTTTCTTTTCTTTTTTGGTCAAATATACAGTTCAGTAATTACAGTATTTCATGCAAACATAATTTGTACTTTCATATGAAGGCATACGGTGGAGCTCTTGCCTCTTTTTTTCATGATTTCCAATTTCTCCTTACCGCAGTACAAAAAAAGGCTGTGTTTTACAGAGCTCAGTGGCTCAAACAGAAATGTACACACTCGATTGAATGAGCTAACGTTTGGTGCTCTGAGCAGTCTGTGTCGTGTAGCAAATGTTTATTTGTAATACAAAGGTTTTGCAAAAAAAAGATAAAACCTAGCTCAAAAAAAACTGAACAGTTAAAACCATGAAAGCTTTTTTTAAATGATTTTTAATAATGCATGTCTAGAGGTATAAATTCTAAATATGAGATGGTACAGAGGAAATTATAGAAATGATAGGAAACAGTACAGTGCTGACCATGAAGCAGGACAGAATGGAATGGATCTCCTTGGTGTTTTTAGAGGCAGCTATGTTAACAGTCTTATTGGGATGGACAAATACAGAAAAATTATAAATAAAGGCAGTCTGTAAAAAAATTGTGTGTTCAGCAGCTAGGTATGGATATTTTATTGTATATACAGTTTGGACCAATATACTTTATGTATATACCATACCTGATCGATGCCGCTGGAAATCACTAAAGTAAACACAGCTCCAATGATCTCCACTTGCTTCCAACTCCTGTGCTGAGAAGTTGGCCTGCTGCTTTCTGAACATAGTAGATTGAATGCTGTGCACGGGTGCCACAGAATAATAAACAAAACACCAGAGCCCAGAAAAAGAGGTTGAAAAAACATATACAGTATATCAATTCCCCATCATAGAGTCCAATATATAGAATTAAATCCACTATAATAATGTGACATCAACAAGGATTCTTGCTTACCAGCTCAGCATATGAGCCTTGTTACCCTTATACTATTATGGCAGTTCTATTCTGTAGGACATCTACTTGGCCTATATGAAAACCAAGGAGAGATTGGTTTTTCCACTTCAAACTACTTGAACCATTGAAGACCTTTGTTATAGTTTTTGCACATTATTAATTTTTTGGACTTCAGCATATCCATTATTTGTGAGTACATTTAATAGATACTTGGATTTGTATTTATTTATTGTAGTTATGGGGAGGGGTGTAGTTTCAGGTGAGGGCAATTTAGTTCCTTTTCTTCTTTTCTTTTCTCTTAATGTCTCCTGATCCTCTCCACAGGCCGGGGCAGACTGATAGCCACTCTGGACGTTATGTGTGTTGTTTGGGCTTTCCATTTTAAGGCAAGTATTGTGAGATTGCAGATATATATGTTGCGTATTTTTCCCCCTGTTAACTTGTTATAGACAGGTTACTGTATTTGTATGCATTATTGTTTTGAATATTTGTCTGGTTATGGATTTCAGACTAGATGTGGTTCCCTGGTTGGCATATTCAAAGTCCCTTTAGCATTTTACCTTTTACATAGACAATTGTCAGTACTTGCAACAAGTTTACATATCTGTCAGAAACAGGTACAGGAATCTGCCGCACGGAGGTCCATACCATACACTCCTTCCTCAGTGCAGCTACTTGCCTGTCCACTGCGCCTGTCACATAGGCTGAGAGAGTAGTTGGCTATGGGTAGAACCTGATAGGGAACTCTGAGAGACTAGATCCCTATCTGTTCTTCCACGTCAGTGATTGACAGCAGAAGCAGTAGGTGGGTTCAGTCCAATAGCGGCTATAGAATCTGCCCACTGCCTTCCACTGTTAATTACATGGGAGGCAGACCTGATGCCTGCCATAACTGAAATGTATACATTCTTTGCTTTACCCACTTTCGCAATATTTCATACGTTTTAGCTACCTACTACTGAAGACCCCTCTCAGTTACCATCATCATCACATTCACCCGCATAGTTCAATGATTCTTCTTAACCGATATTAGCTTCTGTTCCCTGCCATCTGTTCATGAACATCTTGGTGCCTCTCTTCCAACCACCCCTTTTAATCTCTGGTATAGGGAGTACCTTCCAATTGGTGTGACAGATTAACACTGGCTCCTGATTTTTTGTGAATGTCACTAAACTTGGAGAGGGATGTATGGATGTCAATGGAATTTGTGAGTGGCCTATTTAGGTCATTGACTGGGGGACATCAAAAGAGACCAACATTTTGAATATTCTTTCAGTCTTAAATTGCGTAGGGTGTTGCAAATAAAGTTACCCAACAATGACAATATGTTAGTGTTCGAGCTTTAGAGATCCCATGCTACCCTTCTGGCCTTGAGCATTGAGGGCTGATCTTGTTTTCCTTGACAATAGTCATTGGGATTTTGTTACAGGCACCTGCTTGGACAGCCAAGACTAAATAGAGACACTGACACCACTAAAAACAGGCTGCAATTGAAAAGTGCTCAAAGTTTCTGGTGTCCACCTCTTTCTACACCACATTCTGAAGATTTGCTATGTTATAGGGAACATCTAGAAATATTAATTGTGCCTAAGCAGCACCACAAAAACTTTACTTTTTGTCTTGAATTCCTCTTGAAAAATAGCACTGTACTTCCTGGATTGTGAGTCGGCCTATAGCCCCGTAGCTGTATATCTGCAGTGAGATCTAAGACATTGTGCTGCTAATCACTTGTCTCATCAGATTTGGAATGAGTGCTTATGATTGCTACAGTTGTACTCGTGGTTTTCCTTGCTGGAGAGGAAGCAAAGCCTTGCCTCTACCAAGATGGCCACCTCTGCACAGAGACACAGTACAGAACAGGGTACAGTAAGTCAGTAACAGGGTAATGGTTAGCTGCCAACAGATAATACTGGTGATAGTGAATAGTCTTTTGCCCTATATTTGCCTACTGGGTACAGGTTCCTGAGTACAGGATCTCTTTAGGATTCACCAGAAGTAAAATAACACATGCCCGATGGCTTACTAAACAGATATCATGCATTTCCGTAATCCGCTACCTAAACTATTTCAGTTAAAGAATTTTCAGTTAAAAATGTGTTGTCTGTTGATATGCGATATTAGTGCTTCTGATTGGAATGGCAGCACATGTCAACACATGACATGCACATTCCAAAAACAATTTAAAAAATAAAGATTTATAGGTGTGAAGCCAGCCTTAAATGACAAGTTCACCTTTTGTAATAAAAAAAATTATACATGCACACATTTTTTATGTGCAAAAATGTGAATTTACTATTTTTTTACACTGTAGTCTGTCAGGCATTGCTGTGATTGGCAGATTGCTGGGGCAATGTTTGGATCCTGCTACACTCTGTAAGCTGTCTGCTCATATTTAGTATGGGCACGCAGTTACTGAATGGGGGGAAGAATCGATGGAGTATGAGAGCATTTACCAGCACCCTCGCAGTTCATTGAGAACTACAGGCTGTGAGCCGCAATGGCTTGACGGTACTTGTAGGCATTCATTATCAGGAAACTGTGAACGAATGACACAGATGTGTGGGGGCAGAGCCTCGCATGGCCGAGCTGTCTTTAACCCCTTCGCGACGGCGCCTCCTGGCCCTTTAAGGGTTTCAGAAGCCCGGGAGGCAGGGCGGGGTTTAGGATCATGTGACCACTGTGACACGCCGTCACGGTGGTCACATGATTGGGAAAGGTCCCGATCGAAAGAGGAGATCAGGACCTTTCCGTAGGTACCGGACACGTGTGTGTGCGCAGGGCACGTGATGGTCGCAATAGAACGCAAATGTGCGACCACTCAGCGTCTAAGCCCAGATGCTGCACATTTGCGTTCGGCCGGCGTGGAGAAGTTAAATTGTGACAGCGAGTGCGAGCAGAAGATCCCCTGCCTACTGTCACAGGGAGTGGGGATAAGGGGCAGGAGAGGGGGCAGAAACTTGAACATGTTATATGCACACTAAACATTCCACAATTCGTAGACCCTAGTCCATTTCAGGAGCAAGCACGGGAAGGTGGCTACCTTCCTACAAACAGCGGGACTATTGAGAACAAATTAACCCCTCTCTAACAGGAAGTCGGATTACTGCAAATTTGAATATGAAGATTGGTAAGAGGCTGAGAAGGAACTTTTGGAACTTTTTGAAAATGCACTTCAATTGATTTGTTTTTTTTTCTTACCAGGGTGTAGTGTCACTTTAAGCAACTTTTATTCTATTTACATTATAAAAAATATCAAAGTACAAATACACAATATTCTCATTGAAGAGTGAAGAAGTAAAAACAACTCACGTCCTCCACATCATAAATTCCATCAGCTGCAAGAATCATACCAATAATATTAAAGACCGGTTTCAGAAAAGCCAGCTGGAAAACACCCAGGGTAAGAAGGTTCAGCTTATTCCTGCAAAGTAAGCATTTAGATTCAGTAGACTAATTGAAGACTGTTATACGTCATACACGGCTAGTTAGTAATCTGAAGATTCTGCATCAGCAAGCCATTAGAAGCATTTCAGAAAGTACTTTGCTGGCCATATGCAGCTCATTACGAATATACATGGATCATGCAGGATATCTGACGTTCACTAGAAAAGGGGGTCAGAATTCATATTATTAGTAACAGACACTTCCAGGCTCTGTCAAAGGCCATCTAGAAAGCCATTGCTGACAGCCATCTGCAAATGCTAGTTGTCTGGCTGTCTCTGGATTCATTGTGCTTGATTTACTAAAACTGGAGAGTGCAAAATCTGGTGCAGCTCTGGAAAGAAACCAATCAGCTTTAACATCAGCTTGTTCAATTAAGCCTTGACAAAAATATACTGGATGCTGATTGGTTTCTATGTAGAGCCATCCAGAATTTGCATGCTCCAGTTTTAGTAAATCAACCCCATTGATTTGCAAATTGCTAACCTAAAACAAGCATGCAGCCAATGAAGTCAGAGTGAGATTAGG